GAGAAGCACCAGCCCTCCCACATCCTGCTCAGGCACCATGCCAACATGGGGCTGCATCCCCATCAAGGACATGCACACACCGTGCCACTCAAAAGGAAGGGGTTTGGTGAGTATGTCTGCTGCCTGACGGTTGGTTGGGCACCACCGGAGGATCACCTCGCCGCTTGCCACCATCTCCCTGATGAAATGCCACCGAACCTGCATGTGCTTGGTGCGGCCATGCAAGCATGCATTCTGTGCAAGGGCAATGGCAGACTGGTTGTCCACAAACACAGGCACACCACCAGAAAGCTCATGCCCAAACTCCCCAAACAAACGCTTCAGCCACACACCTTCCTGAATGCACTGACATAGACTGATGTATTCACTCTCAGTGGTGGACAATGCAACCACCGGCTGCCTCTTGCTCTGCCAAGAGATGGCTGCACCATTAAGGCAATAGACATAGCCGGTGTGACTCTTACGGTCAGCTGAATCTCCAGCATAATCAGCATCACTAAAGCCCACCAACTCAACTTGAGGCTTGCTGTGTGCGGGGTAGAAGATACCTGACTTGACACAACCTTTCAGGTACCTTAGCACTCTCTTAGCAGCCTGTAGATGAAATGCCTTGGGACAAGACACCACCTTGGACAGCTGTGACACTGCATAAGCAATCTGGGGCTGTGTGGTCGTGCTTGCATACATGAGAGACCCCACAATGCTTTGATAGAGCTGGACCAGCTCATCTCTCAGCAAGGGCTCCTCAGCATGTGCATGCACGTCGAACCCTATAGGGAGAGGGGTACGCACGGGGTTAACCTCAGAAAGGCCAAATGACTCAAGCATGTTGAGAATGTACCTCTCCTGATGAATCAAGATGCCACTCTCATCACGCTCAATCTGCACCCCCAAATAGTACTTAGCCTCCCCCAAGTCCTTCATGCGGAAACGAGATGACAAGAGACCCTTCACCTCGTCCAGCAAGACCATGCTTGAAGACATGAGCAGAATGTCATCCACATAGAGGTAGAGGGACAACCTGCCCTCATCCCTCACCAAGTGGTACAAGGCAGGGTCACACTCAGACCTCTCACAGCCAAAATCCATCAACGCCTCATCAAACTTGAGGTACCACTGCCTTGGAGCTTGCTTAAGCCCATAGATTGATTTTTTGAGTCGGCAAACCCTGCCGGACCCATCATCAAAACCAGGGGGCTGCCTCATGTAAAGCTCCTCCTTCAAGACCCCATGAAGATAGGCAGTGGTCACATCCATGTGATGGATGTGAAACCCCGAGGAGGCTGCCATCCCAAGGGAGCCTCTCAGGGTAGTAGGCTTACCCACCGGGGTAAACACCTGGTCATAGTGAACACCCCGTGTTTGAGTGTTCCCCATGGCCACCAACCTGGACTTAGGTCTCTCAATGCTACCATTAGCCTTATGTTTGTACTTCCACACCCACTGACACCTCAGTACCTCCATATCAGGTGGCACACAAGCTGGATCAACCAACTCAAAGGACTCCTTCACCTTATGAGACTCAAGCTCCTCGCGCATGGACTCGACCCACTCAGGACGGGACAAGGCCTCCTTGACTGACTTAGGCTCATGTACCTGACCCATAAGACAAAAATCAAGTCCATGCGCACCCCTATCAGCATCCACAAGCATGCACTCCTCCAAATCATGTACCTCATGATCATGCATGCAAGCATACTGTGCACTTGGTGTGAACCTCTCAGGTGGCCGGGAGATGCGTGTGGTGCGGCGCAGAGGTGATGCCTCTCCCTGCTCCAAACTTTGCAGCTTCTCCCTCCAAGTCACTCTCTTCATGGGGGACCGTGGTGACTTGGGAAGCTGCTGCTGCAGTAGTTGCTGCCACCTACCCACAGGAACAGGCGGTGTATGCTGCTGTGGTGGCTGCTGCGGCTTCTCTTGTTGCTGCTGCTGCTGCCCCTGTGGCTGCTCCAGGTCATGGGCTGGTGCGTTAGGGTCAGGGGTAGAACCAGCAGTTGGTGACTCCTCATGGTGAGGTGCAGCTGCCTTTTGTTCCTCTTGCTGCTCCTGTACCTCCTCTCCAGGGTCCTCCCATGCCCCCTCAAAGATGGAAGAGGTGTAGGGATCCTGGAGGGAGCTCCCAACTGTACTAGCACCACGCTCCTTCCACCCCTTGTAGCTCAGCCCCTCGTGAAAAACCACATCCCGGCTTTCCACCACCCGCTGATCCGCCACACTCCACAACATCCAAGCTTTGCTCCTCTCCGACACCCCAAGGAAAATGCCCCATTGTGCCTTAGGATCCAGCTTCCTCCGTTGCTGGTCGGGCACTTTGAACTGCGTCATGCACCCCCACACTCGTGCCATCGACACACTAGGCACCTTCCTAGTCCACATGAAGTATGGGCTCTTGCCCTCTAGCCCCTTCCTGCCCATCCGGTTCTTAACCCAGTTAGCATATTGCACTGCTGCCCCCCACCAAGTATGGTCCAGCTGCGCATGAGCAAGCATGGCTCGGGCAAGGTCAATGAGGGTCCAGTTTAGCCTCTCTGCTGCCCCATTTTGCTGTGGCGTGTAGGCAACTGAAAGCTGGTGGGTGATGCCCTTGTCTTCAAGGAAAGACTCCAGATCCTTCCCCATGTACTCCCCACCCCGATCAGACCTAAGTATTTTCACCTTGGCCCCGGCTTCCCTCTCCGCATAGCGTATCCAACGCTTGAAGGCCTTGGCCACCTCATCCTTGGTTTTCACCAAGGTAACCCAACTTAAGCGGCTGAAGTCATCCAAGAAGGTGATGAAGTATTTGCTGCCCTTCTCCCTTTCTGGTGTTTGCATGGGGCCACACACATCCGTGTGCACCAACTCAAGAGGTGCGGAGGCTCTAGTGGTGGAGGTAGGGAAGGAGGTCATTGGCAGCTTCCCGGTCGTGCAATCAGGGCACTTGCTTGGCTGCCCACTGTGAGAACACTAGCGTGACTTAGGAGCCATAGCTAGTGAGTGTCGAGAGAGTTGAGTATGGAGAGAATTGAGTGTCGAGAGAATTGGAAAGGAGAATGATGGTTTCACTATAGAAAGTTGGGATACAAATAGCAAACCCTAAATTGGTTTGTACTCACTACAGAATACCCCACTGCAGGCTAAACAGTAAATACATTCTGACACACCCCCATTGTCAAAGTGGGGTATAATCAGCAGAGCAAGCAGTCATAGAGCAGGTTCACAAGTACAAGCAAAGCTAGAGGCATTCACAAAGGGCAAGTGAGGAGGAGGAAGCTGGACTGTGAGAGGAGAGGAGATAGGAGGCGACGGCTGATGTTGCAGACACACGGGCAACAGGAGCGGCGCACACTGTGGCTACCGGGGCCGTATCCCCAGACTACAGAAGTAACTGGCTCTGCAGCTAACTCTGAGCGGCAGGAGCAACGTACCCACAGGCGACAAGCGCAGCAGGCTCTCTGGGCTACCGGAGATTGTAGCCTCCGGACTACTGGCGCTGCTGGCGACACGACGGCTACCTCCGCTCAACCTCCCCCAACTGTCCCACCCCCCTTTCACACACCCCTTGCTGCACCCCTAGCTCCACTCTCACGTCACCCCCCCTAGCACTACTCCCTCGGCTCCCACACACCCACCCCCCTCAGCGGCAGCTGCAGCAGTGGGAGACGGAGGAGGAGGAGGAGCAGGGGACGGTTCACACACCCGCCACCCCCATACCCGCCACCCCGCAGTTGCACCCACACCCGCCACCCCCATACCCTCCCCCCACTGCTGCACCTGCAGCAGGGGATGGAGGAGAAGGGGGAGGGGGGGGGGGCAGGGGGGGGCTGGTGCTGCAGATCCCCTCCCCCCCACTGCTGCACCCGCAGCAGGGGGAGGTAGGAGAAGGGGGGGGGGGGGGGGGGGCTGGTGCCGCAGATCCCCTCCCCCCCCACTGCTGCACCCGCAGCAGGGGGGAGGTAGGAGAAGGGGCGGTGCAGGAGCCGCTCGGGTGACAGTAGGTGGCCATACCCGCCACCCCCATACCCTCCCACACTGCTGCACCTGCAGCAGAGAGACGGAGGAGAAGGGGGGGGGGGCGGGGGGGGGGGGGGGGGGGGCTGGAGCTGCAGATCCCTTCCCCCCCACCGCCACACCCGCAGCAGGGGGATGGACGATCCCCTCCCCCCCACTGCTGCACGCGCAGAAGGGGGAGATAGGAGAAGGATGGGGGGGGGGGGGGGGGGGGGGGTGGGTCGGTGCTGCAGATCCCCTCCCCCCTTCTGCTGCTCCCGCAGCAGGGGGAGGTAGGAGAAGGTTGGGGGACCTGGTGCTGCAGATCCCCTCCTGCCTCCCCCTGAACCTCCAAGTTCCCCCCCCCTCTCCCAGCCGTCCCCATGGAGGGGGGGGAGGGGGGGGAGGGGGGCGGGGGCGGAGCTGCGCGTGCGACTGTAGGGCACGCGGGCAGGAGGAACCCCCTCGTGCCACCCCCTCACCCACCATGGCGCAACAGGGCACCGAGGCCGCGGTTAGGGGCGGCAGGTCGCGAGGGGCCATGGCTAGGGGCGACGGGGCCATGGCTAGGAACGGGGCCGGGCGCTGGGCAGGTACGGGGCCGGGTGCTGGGCTAGGGACGGGGCCGGGTGCTGGGCAGGTACGGGGCCGGGCGTTGGGCAGGTACGGGGCCGGGCGCTGGGCAGGTACGGGGCCGGGCGCTGGGCAGGTACGGGGCCGGGCACTGGGCAGGAACGGGGCCGGGCGCCGGGAAGGTACGGGGCCGGGCGCTGGGCAGGTACGGGGCCAGGCGCTGGCAGGTACAGGGCCGGGCGCTGGGCAGGTTCGGGGCCACGCGCTGGGCAGGTACGGGGCCGGGCGCTGGGCGTGGAACGGGGCCGGGCGCTGGACAGGTACGGGGCCGGGCGCTGGGCAGGTACGGGGCCGGGCTCTGGGCAGGTACGGGGCTGGGCGTTGGGCAGGTACGGGGCCGGGCGCTGGGCAGGTACAGGGCCGGGCACTGGGCAGGTACGGGGCTGGGTGCTGGGCAGGTACGGGGCCGGGCACTGGGCAGGAACGGGGCCGGGCGGCGGGCAGGTACGGGGCCGGGCGCTGGGCAGGTATGGGGCCGGGCTCTGGGCAGGTACGGGGCCAGGCGTTGGGCAGGTACAGGGCCGGGCGCTGGGCAGGTACGGGGCCGGGCGCTGGGCAGGTACGGGGCCGGGCGCTGGGCAGGTACGGGGCCGGGTGCTGGGCAGGTACTGGGCCGGGCACTGGGTAGGAACGGGGCCGGGCGCTGGGCAGGTACGGGGTCGGGCGATGGGCAGGTACGGGGCCGGGCGCTGGGCAGGTACGGGGCCTTGCGCTGGGCGCGGAATGGGGCCGGGCGCGGGGCTAGGTACGGGGCCGGGCGCGGGCTAGGTACTGGGCCGAGCGCGGGCAAGAGACGGGGCCGGGCGCTGGGCGAAGGACGGGGCCAGGCGCGGGCTTGGTACGGGCCGGGCGCGGGCTAGGTACGGGGCCAGGCGCGGGCGAGGTACGGGCCGGGCGCGGGGCTAGGAACGGGGCCGATCGCGAGCTAGGTACGGGCCGATTGCGGGCTAAGTACGGGCCGCGCGCGAGGCTAGGTACGGGGCCAGGCGCGGGTGAGGTACGGGCCGGGCGCGGGGCTAGGAACGGGGACGAGCGCGGGCTAGGTACGGGCCGATCGCGGGCTAAGTACGGGCCGGGCACGGGGCGACGGAGTCGACGGGGCCAAGGGGCCGAGGCGACGGGGCCAAGGGGCCGAGCCTAGGGGCTAGGGGCGACGCCTAGGGGCGACGGGCCGGGGCCTAGGCTAGCAGGGCAGTAGGTGGTGGGCCCATTAACAATAGGTCCTAGGAAAGTTATGCTCTTAATACCATGTGAGAATACTAGCATGACTTAGGAGCCATAGCTAGTGAGTGTCGAGAGAGTTGAGTATCGAGAGAATTGAGTGTCGAGAGAATTGGAAAGGAGAATGATGGTTTCACTATAGAAAGTTGGGATACAAATAGCAAACCCTAAATTGGGTTGTACTCACTACAGAGTACCCCACTGCAGGCTAAACAGTAAATACATTCTGACACCCACCACCCTCCTTGATCTCCACACCCTTCAGCTCCCCCTTCTTCACACACTCCACAAGTTGTTGCCTTCCCGCATGCCCCATGCGTAGGTGCAGCAAATCTGCCGTCACCTGCTCTACGTCCCTCCAACGGGTGCTGCAAGCGGCATCCTTGGCTTCAACCCCATGTGCCTTCTCCACGTGAGGCACACACACTGGAACAAGGTATAAATCCTTCTCTAACTTGGCCTCCATCACCACAATTCCACCCTTGCAAACCGTGCACCCTCCCATGGTGAAGGTGCATATGTATTCTTGCCTCGCAAGCTGAGAGCATGAGAGAAGGTTGGCTGCCAATCCAAGAACATGAAGCACACCCTTCAAATTCAGCACCTCCCCCTCCTTCCCCTTGACGGTGATGGTGCCGATGCCGATTGCTTGCAGCATATCTCCACTCCCCACAATCACATTTCTGGAGTTAGGTGGGAGGGAGTGATAGGTGGTGAAGAGGTCGCGCCAAGGTACCATTCCACAGGTTGCCCCAGAGTCTAGAATGAGCTGGTTGGGGTCAGCCAACACACGACCAGCAAGCGCCGTCTCCTTCTCCAAGGATAAGAAGGAGAAACCATCATCCGATGAGTCCTCCTTTCCCTTCTTATCCTCGTTTGCCGCCGCTGCTGCCGCTTTCTCTTTGCTTCCCTTCTTGTTCCATGCTCCATTCTTCATCCTCCTCTCCACCCACACAGGCCTAGTGACAGGTGGAGCCTCTCTTGGGTACCCTTGAGGCTTCCACCCATCTGGTCGGCTCCAACACTCCTTCCAAGAGTGCTTCCGGTTGCATCCAGGGACGAGGCACTTGTCGAGCTCCTTCTTCTTCCCCCCACCTCCTTGCCGCTGCTGGTACTTCTTGGAAGCAGCCCTATCACCTGCCCCCATTCCCCCTTCAACTCCTCTACCAGCATCACGCTTGCGAGCCTCATCAGAAACCAACACCTCCCATATCCAGGCCTTGGTCCATTTCTGCTGCTCAAGGTGAAGGTACTGCAGTAGGGCCTCGTTCGCCTCTTGGTCCAGCCCCTGGAGTGCGGTGTAGATGATCTCCTTCTCATCTACTTTGTAGTTCAACTCCTCCAAGGCCCTGACATACTCATCCACCCTCTGGAGATACTGCACCATGGTCTCTCCATCACCATAGTTGCGTTCCATGGTGTAGAACCGCTTCCTCCAGGTGAGTATGCTTAGGAACCCTTTTTGCAAATGTCGATCTTGAACTCTCTTCCACGCTTGGGAAGCTGCTCCTTGCTTCCCCTTCAGGTCAATCAGCATCTTTAGGAGCTCTAGTTGGCCTTCCAAAGCCCAACACAGGTACTGGAACGCTTGCTTGTCCTTGCGGTCCCATGCTTCTTGTGCCTTAAGTAGCTCCTCCGCACTAAGCCGGTGCCTTCCGGTTCGCGGTGCTGCTGATCCACCTCCACTTCCCTCACTTATAGATGAGCTAGAGGCTCCCCCAGCCCCTGATCCCTCTTGGCTATACACTCCAGCAGATGCCTCTGCTTCATCAGCTCCAGGTCTTCGCTCCGATCCCTCCAAAACGCCTTCTAGGTCTTTGATACCTAGCCAAAACGTAAACTGGAACCGCCATAGCGAAAAATCCGAGCCGGTGAACCTAGGAGGGCCATCTAATTTCTGGGCCATGACCAACCCTAGATCTGGATGTCCTTAAACCAATTCTAAATTTGATAAAAATAGGGAATGTCGCAGGCCTAACCAGCTCTGATACCACTGATGGATAGCGTGCAAATCTGGAGAGCGTACAAGAGATTAAGTCCGCCGACTTCGACGGAACATTGCATACAGCTCACGTAACCTTAAGCTATGAGCGGGTACGCGTTGGAAACTTCTTAAACTCTACTTTCCAGAATGGTAACGCCCGCCTTAAACCAAGATCTAGGCCGATCGCTATCGCGATTTAAGTGCGACGGGGTGTCCTAGCCGAATTACTTGGCAGCCATGGATTAGATATAGGAATGGCTTAAGCTAGAGTTCAGATCTGAAAAATGACGAGTTTGACAAACCCTACCATCCCAACCCTCGCCATACAACAATCCCCAACAATCCAAAATGCCAAACTAGCAACACCAAAGGTGTTGTAGTGGGTAGCAAAGGTTTGTTGGTGCTTGTTTGGTGCGAGATCAAATCCAGCCCGTAACAAGTCTAGCAATAATATTTTGCCCAAACCCTTAGCCCACAATCAGCTAGAGCAAAATACCACAACTACCTACACAATCAACACTCTTCACCGTTCCTCCCATTGGGTCATCGACACGGGAGCCTTCATGACCATGACCAACCGAGAGGATCTGCTGGATGAAGTCAGGCCATCAAAGGCAGCCACCGTTGTTTCAGCCACCGGCCAAGTTGTACCCGTGCGTGGCGAGGGGAGAGCCATGTTTATGGGTGTGGATGAGAGGCTTGTGGGGCTGAAGCGTGTTCTTCTTGTCCCTGGACTATCTGCCAACCTTCTCTCTACCAAGGCATTGAGTGAGGCAAGGATGAAGATGGAGATGATGGGCACAAAGGTGTTCAAGGCAACTCTGGATGGGCGCGTGTTGTGGGACCTCCGAGGCGGCAAGGACATGCACCGGTCCATGTGGGAGATACCGGTGCTGCCATGGAAGGAGGCGGCTGCGTGCTTGGCTGCTGAAGTTGTAAGAGGAGGGCATGCAAGCCACGTAACAAGTGGAGGAGGTGGTGATTGCAGTGATGGTGGGCTGCTTGTGCATGGGGGGCGTGCTCTACCAAGTGTAACTCCTAGCACGGGTGACACGGATTGGCTCACTGCACACCGTCGCTTTGGCCACCTGGCGCTAACTCAGTTACAGCAGTTGTTTAAGGAGGAAAGAGTCAAGGGGCTGAGGATAAAGGGGGAGCCCAAGGAGGTGGGCTCTTGTGAGACTTGCTTGACCAGCAAGTTCTCACGATTTCCCTTCCATTCGACGGTGGGGCAGTCAAGTGACCCGGTGGAGCTCGTGCATGTGGATCTTGTGGGGCCCATGAAGATGAAGGGAGATGGTGGGGGCTTGTGTTCCATGACTATGGTGGATGATTACACAAGGCTCACCTGGTCTTTTCCACTTGCAAAGAAGAGTGATTCTGCAAGGGTCATCATTGAAGAGTGGCTGCCCATGGTGGAGCGAGAGAGCGGCAAGCGGGTGAAGGCGATTCGTAGCGACCGTGGTGGGGAGTTTTTGGGAGCGGAGTTCCGGAGCTGGTTGAAGCGGCACGGCATCAAGCAGCAGCTCACCACGGCCTATACCCCTCAGTCCAACAGTGTGGCAGAGAGAGCGAACCGGACCATCATAGAGGGCGGGAGAACGATATTGGTGGACTCGGGTCTACCCTTGCGGTTCTGGCCCCTCGCTATTCGTCATGCTACCGTCATCAAGAACCGGGTGTTGACTCATGTGGGAGGTCAGCATTGGGTCCCTATGGAGAAGTGGAGTGGCAAGAAGCCCCTGGTTGATATGCTTCGTGTCTTCGGGTGCATGGGGCTCGTGCATGTCCCTAAGGAGAAGCGTGACAAGCTTCAAGCGGCGGCGGTGTGGGCTGTTCATTTGGGTCTTGCATGGGGGAGCAAGGGCTGGCTCATGTGGGACCCAAAATCCAACACCGTCTTCACCACCAGAGATGCCAAGTTCATGGAGGGGCTCATGTTCAAGGAGTGGTCGGAGCGGGGGAGGAGCAAGGTCACCATTCCGTTTAGAATAGAGGTGGGAACGAACGACCCACTTCTCATTCCCATCGAGTTATCCTCATCTTCAGAGTTGACAGAGGTGTCACATGACTTGGGAGGTGCTGAAGGGGAGGCAGCAGATGTGGAAGAAGTAATGCAGCAAGGGGAGGCCCCTGTAGTTGAGAGAGGTGATACCGAGGAGGTGCAGCAGCCTACACCATCCTCTAAGCTTCCACCAAGGCGCACAACCCAAGGGAAGCGTGATGCTGTCCGTGGTGGAGCCAAGGAAGGAGCAGCCAAGGAGAAGCCCAAGAGAGCTGCCCACCCAAGGGATTTCCTCAAGTATGAAAGGTTCGGGGTTCCCAAGGCATTTCTGGTCCAGGAGGAGGAAGATGAGGAGGAGAAGGGAGCCAAGGGGGAGATGGAGCAGATTTGTTGCTTTGGCGTCAACTTACCTCATGAGCCGGTGTCAATGGAGGAAGCTCTCGCTGGAGATGATCGAGAGGCATGGCTGGCTTCAAGGGAGGATGAGTTCCATATCCACATGGAGAATGAAACATGGACCCTTACCAATCTGCCCCCAGGAAGGAAGGCGTTGGACTG